CCTCCCTGCCTCCCCTGCCTCCCTGCCTCCCTGCCTCCCTGCCTCACCTTCCTGGCCCAAGGTGCCGGTGCCTGGAGGGCTGCTGAGACCAGACCACAGAGGCCAAGTCTCGTGTGCCCCTACCTTAGCTGGCTGGGATCCTGCACCCTGATTGTCCCACCACCATGAGGAGAGGGTGCATCCTAGGCTCTGTGTCCGGGTGAGGAAGTGGAAGACATGCCCAAGGGTCTACAGAGCACTGCCTCCTGTTGGGCACCAGCTCCCGCGCTGACCTCCCCAAGGCCTGGGCAGCGGGGCCGTCATCCTCCCTGGCTCAGAGCTGGGGACCAGGGCCCAGGCAGGAGGCCTGACCGTTAGGGGTGGCGGTGCCTGCGCTCAGCTGGGAGAAGAGCCGGTGGGCCTGCAGGTCCCTGCTGCTCCTGACTGTGGCTAGCCAGGCCAAGACGGCTTCCTCTGAGCGTGGACAGCACCCCGCCCCCAGTCTGTCCCCCAGCTGACCTTTCTCTGCAGCAAGGCAGCCCCTGGAAGGAGCCCACCCTGAGATTTTATTGATCTGGAGAAAAAACTTAATTAGTCTCATAAACTGTCACTTGACACTCTCCAGAACACCCACCTCTGGCTTGCAGATCCCCGGGGGCTCAGAGGCCCTCGTATGCCAGGTGCCGTGGTGGGCAGACCAGGTGGGGCCTCTCTTCAGAGCCGCCAGGTGGCCCTGGGGCCTGGCCAGGTCCTTGCTCACCTTGAGATGTCACTGTGTGGCTGCTTCTCTGAGGGGAGGTGCCGGCCTTGTCCCACACACGTGTGCACGTGTACAGGAACCTAGGTGCATATGCACATGCCTTCTGCTGGGTGGACATGTCCCTCCTCGGTGGACAGCGCTGGTTCAGGGGTTGTCCCCCACTCCCTCTCGCAGCACTGGAACTTGGCTGCCTTGCCCCGGTCACTACTGTGCTTAGCCACTCTTCCTCCAGGTGTGCGTCTCTCCCAGGTTCTGAGCTTGCTGAGGTGGAGCCTGGCCACCTTGGTCACACTGACACTGATGGCCAGAGTGTGCTGGTGGGGGGCAGTGGTGCCACCCGGCTCCAGGGTTAGGCCACTTGGCTCTGCTCTGCTGTTCTGGTCAGGAGCCAGCAGACCAGTCCTGGGGGCAGGGCATGCTGTCAGCAGAGCGCTGGCCCAGGACAGGAGTGCTGCCCATGCCTGGACTGCTCTTCCTCCCACAGCCACAAATCCAGGTCCCAGTGTCGCTCCAGGCCTGCCCAGGTGCTGTCACCTCCAGACCCTCCCCAGGCACTCAGCCCAAACCGCAGAGGACTACGGCTGTGCTGGGCGTGTACCGTGAGCCCACCTGACTCCTGGGCAGAGCCGAGGGGTCCTCAAGTGCCTCTTGGTGACAAGCGCTCTGCCAGGTGTGAAGGTCCAGGGGGCCAGGGCAGGACAAGCTGGGAAGCTGTGGGGCAGCAGGGTGGGGAGGGCGGACAATCAGGAAGGTCCTGTGTGTGGAGCCCAGTACCATCTGTGAACCAAGCCCTCATGTGCCAGGTGCCATGGTGGCACGGAACCGAGGGACCCAGACAGTCACTGTCCCAGAGAAGCTTGTGCAGCAGGCTCAGAGCAGCGCCTGCGGAGGTCCCTGCCCTGTCCCCCTTGAGCCCCACAGCGTGCAGCCTGGCGTCGGGGCCTCAGCGTGGCTGTCCACTGGGTCCTGAGTTTGGAGAGGCTCCTGACACCTCTGGGTGCTGCGTTTGCTTCAGGCCTGGGCTGAGGGCAGAGGGGCTTCCAGGGAGAGGGTCACTTGTCAAGGGCTTCTGCAGGTGACTAAGTCTGGTGGTGTTGGGCTGCTTCCCCTCCCCACCCCCAGTCCCCAAGGTCACTCAGTCACTGTCACTGGGGGTCTCTCTAAAGCAAGTCTTAGCAGCGTGCTCTGTAACTGGGGTGTGGCAGCTGCATTCCACCCAGGAGCCTGCCCCCCACCCTCTCTCCAGGGCCTGTCACGGGGCCAGCAGTTTGGGTGTCCGCAGCAAGCAGCCCCTGTCACCATGGACACTGGCAGGTCTGAGTCACTTCCACCTTTTGATGCAAACAGGCTGCTCCTGGGAAGGCAGGAGAGTTGGCGCTGAGCACCACCCAGGTTCCCCAGCGGGGCTGGTGCGGCGTGGCGCCGGCGAGGAGCCACACACAGCACCCATTCATGCAGAGGCCTGGCTGCCCTGGAAATCGGCATTCAGCGCGGTCCGGAAGGAGGCCGAGTCGCGCTGCAGTCTTTCAATATGTGGCTGTCCCTCAATTTATATTCCAGGCTCCCCGTTGATGGACACATGGGAGGGTTCCAATTTTTTTTCATGAGTATAAATCACAGTGAACAGAGTGCAAACGGGCTAGGCTTTCTTTAGAGCAATTTCCTCCAAACTTGCCAGGGAATAACGCCACCTTGGAGAGCGGGTCCAGGGCCCAGCCCGCAGGTCTGCCCTGCTGGGCCTGATGCTTTCCTTTCCTGGGCCCAGGAATCTTCTCTTCCTTTCTAAAGGTACTTCAGTGACTCCGTTGGCTGGGGCATTCAGCAAGCTCCCTGCCATCAGCCTCCTGCACCACTGAGCAGACAGTCCCACTGGCCACACCAGAGCCAAGGGCCACTTCCACCCGCTCCAGCCGCTGGAAGGAAGCCCATTTTCCCACATCCTCGCCAGTTGTCCGGGTTGTGAAACTTTTCCTAATCTGAAGGGCGCGTGATGATATCTTGTCCTAGCAGAGTGTGTGTTTTCTGTATGGTTGTGATTGAGCACTTTTTCAAATGTTTGGTGACTGCTTGAGCATCCCTTTAGTGAGTCGTCTGTGACTGTCCTCTTACACTTTGCTGCCAAATGCTCATCATTTGGTTACTGGCTCCGACCACACTTTACATTTTACACCCCCTCTTGTGCCCGTTATAGCTGGCACCACAGTGGCTCCCAGCCTGTGGCTGTCTTTCCACTTTGCTTATTGTGCCACGTTGAGCAAAAGTTCCAAATGGAAACAGACTCATATTAATTAATCATTTTGTTATGGTTTGTGAGTTTCCCACCTAAGAATTCGTCCCCTCTCTTGGTCATAGTTAGGAAGATTCTCCTTCACAAGTTTTTAAGTTTTACTTTGTACACTTAGGGCCTGTGTTTTCTCGGACTTGTGTCTGGTGTGAGGTAGGGATCGTGCGGCTTTCCAGCTGTAAGGCCATTTTTAACAGCTCATTCTTCCCCCCCCCGACTCGTAATGTTGCCTCTGTCATATTGAGATATGATTCACATACTATATAGTCAACCACTTGACTTGTATAATTCTGTGTTTCAGTCATGCTCATACACCATTATCATCAGTCAATTTTAGAATACTTTCATCATCTCACAAAGAAACCTTGTATCCTCTAGCTACCCCTGCCCCTGGTCTACCTAGCCCTAAGCAACCACCAATGTGCTCTCTGCTTTTCCTACTCAGGGCACTTTATGTGACTGGAACCATGTAATATATAGTCTTTGTGTCTGGCTTTCTTCATTTGGCATGTTTTCAAGGTCCAACCGTGTTGTAGCATGTATCATGCCTCATTCCTTTTTATGGATGAATGATTTTCCACTTACAAATGTATTATAACTGTTTATCCATTCACTTGTGGGCTTTTATGAGAAATGCTGCTCCGAGTTCATGTACAAGTTTTTATGTGGACATTTACTGGGTACCTATACACTGCGGCTATAACAAAATGCCTGACACTGAATAAAGAACAGAAAGTCATTTCTTTACAGTTCTGGAGACTGGAAAGTCCAGTCACAGTGCCAGCAGGCCCAGGGGCTGCTCTCTCTACTTTCAAGATGGTACCTCTTCTGGGAAGAGCAGAAGGGGAGAGGAGGGTGAGCACCGTTCCTTCGAACCCTTTCATAAAGCCACTAATCCCATTCGCAAGGGCAGAGCTCTCCTGACTTAATCACCTCTTAAAGGTCCTATCTCTGAATACCATCACGTTGGCAATTAGGCCTCAACTGGGGAATTGGTTTCAGACAGAGTACTGCCATCTTAACAATATTATATCTTCTGACCCATAAACTAATTTTTCCATTTATTTGAATCTCCTTTAATTTATTTTGACCATATTTTGCACTTTTCAGAGTTTAAACCTTGTATTTCTATTGTAAAATTTGTCGCTGATTATTTCATTCTTTCTGATGCTGTTGTCAGTACAGTTGGGTTCCTGCTCCATGTGTTTGAAAACATTTTGGATAAAGTTTTTCATGGGAAGCTCAAGGCTAATGTGCTGAAGGTCCCAGGCAGTGAAGCAAGTGAGTCCCGAGGGGCCCTGCCCTGCTCTCCTGCCCTCGCAGCTGGTCCAGCTGATCTGGACCTGGCCCTGCTCTGCTGCCTTTCTGTCCAGACCACAGGCAGGGACAAGGGGGGAGGTCAGGAAGCTCAGTGAGGGGAGTTTGTCCTCTCTCCAGGGGTGGGCCTAAGATGATCCCCCATGTCCCTCCTTCCCAACGGGAAGCAGAGGTTTAGGGAGATAACCCCCAGCCCCAAACTTGACCCAGTGTGGCCAGTGGTCAGTTACAAATAGAGTGGAGTTGGGCCCCAGCCTGAAGGCTCTCGCAGCTTCGTGGGAAGAGTGCATGCAGTCTGCTGCTCTGGGGACCGTCCTCACAAAGAGGGGGACTGCCTGGTGCAGGGCAGGCAGAGGGCCTGGGAAGGCCCAGGAGGCCTCTGGAGGAGGTGGGCTTTGAGCTGAGTCTTGCAGATTCTCTGGCAGACTGAGTTAGCTTTCCCTCAGGGAAATGGCATGCAGTGGCCCACGTCAGGAAAGGGGCCACAACCTCCTATGGACCGCTGCCATTATCAATCTTAACGACTCAAAAAATTTCACAAATGAAAGGTGTGCCCACTTAAACAGACACAGACCTTCCCTGGATTAACAGTCATTCGGTTTTACTGTCATCACCTTGGAAATTGCCTTGCTGTGCATCTGTGAGCACTGGCGTATTTATACGTGAGCGTGTAAATCGCTGTCACACGGAGTCCTTTCCCAATGAGAGGCGCGGAGGCGGGGTGTCAGGTTCCAGCCGCGTGCAGGCCTTGGCCCGTGACCACCAGCAGTTGGGAGCCCTCAGGGGTGCAGGCTGCTTTCTGTGCTGTAAACTCTCTGCCACAGCTGGTGCCCCGCTGCAGTGTCCTGGCTGAAGGTGGAGCTGGCACCCACTCAGCTCTGGCTAGCTGGTGTGGCAGCGCCCACACACCACTGTGTGGAGTGCTGTTTGATGAGGAAAGTGCACTCTTGGGACTCTTCCTGGGGCAAAACTGGTTTGACAGTGGAGACAGGAGCTGACCTCATCCCCAAGTGCTTGCTGTAGCCCTGGGACCGGATGGAAGGATGTGACTCAGGGGACTATGTTGAATCACTGAGGAGCTCCTGGTCAGCAGTGGAGGTAGAAAGGGATTCCCAGGTGGTTTGCAGAGAAAGGAAGAAGAGGAGATGGTAAGAGCAAAGGGTCCGATCCCCTGAGAAACGCCCCAGCAGAAACCCTGAGGACGCACTCCGGGCGCCATCTAAGTCTGGGACTCCACATGCCCTGAGGGACGTCCACCTCCTGAACCAGCGAAGCCAGGGAATTCACAGGGCTCCGGGTCAGGAGGTGTGCACCAAGCCAGACATCTCTGCCCCGGCTTCTGGACACTTGTCCCAGCCAGCAGTGTCCCTGAGGACTGGTGGCACAGCCGTAGCCAGAACTGGCATTGGATCTGGCCCTCAGAGAGAGCCCTTCCCAACTGTCACTCCTCCGTCCTGGGTGAGGAGGGCCAGGAGCTGCCCGTCCGCACTCTAACAGTGCCCTTGAAGCCCCACAGACGGGACTGCACTGGAGCAGCCTCGTGTGGCTTTTAACTTAAAAAAAGAAGGAAAGACACATTTCTACAACTGTCCATTCAGATACATCTGTGTTGGTGGTTCTATCTCCTAGGACCTGTGGTGACAGCAGCTGGCAGAGGACACAGCTCCCCCCAGGCAGCCTTCCACGGAGACACAGAGGTGGAGCAAGGCCCTGGGGAGGGCCAGTGGCCACCCTGCACAGCGGGCCAGGGCACCGCTACACAATGTCCAGGGAAGGAAGAACAAAGGTTAGGGAAAGCCAGACCGGCTGAGTTACCAGCCCTGCGCGGTGGAGTGTCCGTAAACCAGGCTTCTCCCTGGCGGGGCAGCTGATGAGTCCTCTGCAGTATCTCATGGATCGCCCCCCTCCCCCCGCCCGACCAACACTCTGGCCAGCCTAGACCAGAGCCTTTTTCCTGCCACTGCAAGGTTTACAGAGGACCATGGGGCCATCCACATGAAACAGCCCACCTACAGCCACCCATGGTTTAAAGATGGCACCTGCTCAGTGCAGCCATGTTCATGGCTTGATGGACAGAACCTCTGTCCACTTAGAGCATGCACCCCAGGTCCTAATTTCTTATCTGCTCCAGGCACGGAGCTGCCAGCTGTGGAATGGAACTGTCCTGCCGTTCCAGGTGTGAGCTACCTTCAAAGGCAGGGGCTGTGGCCGCGTGGGAGTAGGCAGGAGCTGTGGCCACATGGGAGCAGGCAGGAGCCAGGCACTCATTTGTGTGAGACAGGAGCCAGCTGCATGGACAGGTCAGGGTGCTGGAGGGCTCCCCGCAACCCTAGCCTTAACTGTCTTCCTGATTCCCGTCCCTGTGCCTCCTTTCCCGCCCACCCTGGGATGGGCTCTTTGGCCTGCCTCGGTGGGACCCCTGGCTGCAGGGCTGGGGCTGGCCCGGCTGGGGCTGGAGGCCCGGGAGCGGCGGGCTCTGAATGAGCGCCTTCTTCCTCAGCTTCAGCCCCGCTGGCCGCGGGTGGCCTTGTGACCTGTCTGCCTGCCAACTCCAGTGGTAGACTGCATGTCTTCAGGCCACGTCCTTTCAGGAAAATCCCTCCGCACACCGCACCCCCCTAGAAAACTAGGTGAGCGATGGCCCTGGCCCTGCAGCCTCTGCTCCACCTTTTCCGTGTGAACCTCGCGTCCTTCCCAGGCGCTGCCCCTGCCGCTGCCTCCCTCCCCCTCCCCTCTGTCACTCTGCCTCTCTGTCCCCGTCTGTGTCTGTCTCTGTCCTTTCACAGACACATGAAACCAAGCGTGGGGACGAGGACTGGCAGCGTTCGGGGTGGGGATGCGGAACAAGCGTTGGCTTTGATGAGGCCGCGATTGTCGCTCCTCATGCCTGGGACACTCTAAGTCTGGCTCCATTAATGACCCTCTGTGTTTATGCACCTAGAGGTCCCTGAGCGGGAGGGCGCGCCGTGAGGCTTCTGGACTTGGCCGGCTTCTCCCGGAGTGGAGGGCACTGGTGGGGCCAAGAGCCCTTCCCGACCCGAAATTCTGAACTGAGATCTGAGTCAGGCACTGGTGATCCACGGTGAGCCCCTCTACTGCCCCCAGACGGCCACGCAGGGACCCTATTAGGGGACTCAGTTCCCCTGTTGGAGCCTCCCATGACCCCAGTCAGCACGTGTCCCCCAGATTGGGACTGAACCTGTGTGGCCCAAGATCCAGCACTGCTGCCGGCCTGCTCTGGGACCCATGGAAGGTTATGACCGCTTCCTGTCCACAAACCAAGACCTGATCAAAAAGTGCCCCAATGCAGGCCAGAATGGGCGCCCAGCTCTGGCTGTGCCTGGAACACAAGAGAGGGGACCCTGGCCATTAGTAAGTGTGGTCACAGCCTCCTTCTCAGGCAGCAGGCTCTCTGTCCCACCCCGAGGCCCAAGGTGACCATTCCTCTGTGAAGCTTCTGCCTGCCCCCGGCACGAGGACTTCCCGTGGCCTGGGTCTGTGTGGGGACACAGCCGTCCTCCTCAGGCGCGGTGGGTGCTGTTGGTGCCGTGTCGGGGTCCAGGCTGGTCAAGTAGAGGGGAGTGGGGGTGAGGGAGATGATGGCATGTGAGATGCTGGTGGCTCAGCAAGGGCCTCCTGGGTGCCTCGTGGGGACGAAGGGGGTCCCAGGAGGAAAGGCAAAACCCAGCCCAGCGTCGGGTGGCGGGCATTCACAGGTGCCGGCTGGGACAGCCCCAGGGGGAGCCACTCGAGCAGGAACAAACTTTATTTCCAAAACTCCCGCCACGTATGCAGCCTTCTCCCGGGACACACCACACCAACCGGCCATCCCTCCTCCGGAATTCCCTCCGACTGCACTTCCCCGACCAATGGGAGCTCCAAAGTAGCAGGCCGAGGCGGACAGCATGGGTCTAATCTCCAACTGAATGCGCATCTTAACATAATCATATCGTCTCCATGGCTTGCTGGGTCACCTTCCAACCAAAAGTGCCATGTGGCATTCCTACTCGGCTGTGGCTCTCGGCACTCTATTATTTCCTTCCTCCACTATTTAGGATCATTTTGCTCTCCTAGTTTCTTTTTTCTTTTTATTGGGGTGCTGAGGATGAAAGTCGGGGCCACACTCACACTAAGTCAGTGCTCCACCCTGAGTGACATGCCCAGCCCTGGCCACCCTGAGTGACGTGCCCAGCCCTGCCCTCCTGGCTTCCTGAGGTGGGAGCATAGGTGCTCGCTCTGAGACCTTTCTTCTTGTCAAGCATTTGGTGCTATGAACTTCCCTCTCAGCCCTGCTTTAGCTGCATCCCACAGGTAGACAGCAGCATGCGCCTGGATCTGAGCTCCCACGGGATTCCACTGAGCCTCCAAATGTGAGAAGCAGCCTGTCATCTCTCTCTGATCTTGGGCCTCACAACAGAGTGCTCACAACACTTCCCAGGGTCCCGAGGAACTGTTGGGGACGATTTAAGATGTCAGCAGTTTCATCTGCTGCCCTCCCTCCCTGTCTCCACCTTGTAACACACTAGACAGGTCAGCACTCAGTTCACATGGAAAATAACCAAGTAAAACTATACAGGAAACCAGTTTTCAGGGCCAGTGACACAGTGAGGGGAGATGGGCACCAGCCTCAGTTGCTAGCACAGAGAAGTCCTGGTCGGTGACCAGGCTGAGGGTGGGGTGGCCTCTCTTCCTATAGCCTGGCAGAGGCACCTGCTCCCCGGGCCTTCATCCCACATCACCCACCTGG